CGTTGCCTAAATGAATTGGTGGAAAAGTAAGGGAATTCCTCAGAAGCTAGAGATGATGTGAAATTACAAATCCCAAGGCACAGGTGATCACTGGAGCCAGTGTTTGCTATCCAACCCTTAGGTGGCCTGGAACTGGGGTTTAAAGAGCCTTAAGTAGGGACAGAAGACCAAATCTGGGGTTGAGCAGAGAAGACTGGAATAGAAAACTACTACCCCCTTACACACATGCACATAAAACCAGGAGAGTCTAGGAGTAACACCCCAGACAGTGACTTAAGAAAAAAAAAGTGCTCCACAAAAGGAAACAGTAAGGATAAAAGCTTCTCATCCTTAGTCATGGGTGTAATGGGGGAAAATCCTCTCTGGTAATTCGAAACAATAAGCTTGTACTGACATCAGTTTGGAACCAGAATGTATATCACATGAGTGGCCAAAAAAATTCCAAGATGATATACAGAGAGCATATATATATATATATATATATATACACACACACATGAATGTGTATGACATATTATTCAGCCATGAGAAAAAAGGATCTCTTGTCATTTGTGACAACGTGGATGGACGTTGAGCACCTTATGCTTAGCGAGACATAGACAGAGAAAGACAAATAGTGTACGACATCATTTATATATGCAACCTAAAACAAGTCAAACCTATGAAAAAAACAAAGTAAAATGGTGGTTACTAGGAGAGGGGGATGGGAAGGATAAGATTAATGGTGTTTAAGAGTATAAACTTGTAATTAGTAGTAAATAGGCCATAGAGGTCTGATGAACTATACAAGGGATATAAACAATAATGTTGTACTGTAATGATGTGATGTGATAAACGTTGCTTCTATAGCAGTCATATTACAATATATAAATGTATCAAAGTAACACACTGTATACCTTAAATTTACAAAAGATAACATGTCAAATCTATCAAACAAACAGAATACAGGAGACATATATGTCCTCAGATTCAGGAAACCCAAGCGATTGCCTCCAGGATAAACAAATAGAAATACACATCTGGATTAACAGTAGTGAAACTGCAGGAATGTGATGACAAGGATAACATCATAAAAGGAGCAAGAGAGAAAAAAGGACTGTTAGATTAACCCCTGACTTCTCATAGCAACAATGAAAGTCAGAAGACAAGGGAATATTATCTTCAACGGGTTAAAAGATAACACCTGCCCTCCTATAATTCCTTAGCCAGCAAAATGATCCCTCAAAAATGGTGAAATAAAGCCATTTTGGGGACACCTGGGTGGCTCAGTCAGTTAAGCTGCCGCCTTCGGCTCAGGTCATGATCCCAGGGTCCTGGGATCCAGTCCTGCATCGGGCTTCTTGTTTGGCGGGGAGCCTGCTTCTCTCTCTGCCTCTGCCTGCCACTCTGCCTGCTTGTGTGCTCTCTCTCTCTCTCTCTCTCTCTCTCTCTCTGACAAATAAATAAATAAATAAATAAAATCTTAAAAAAAAAAAAAAGATGGCATTCTGTTACCTCTCCATCTTTGGGCACCTGGGTGGCTCAGTGGGTTAAGCCTCTGCCTTCGGCTCAGGTCATGATCTCAGGGCCCTGGGATCGAGGCCCATATGGGGCTCTCTGCTCAGCGGGGAGCCTGATCCCCGCCCCCCACCTGCCTCTCTGCCTGCTTGTGACCTCTCTGTGTCAAATAAATAAGTAATATCTAAAAAAAAAAAAAAAAACATTTTCAAGCCAATAAAACTGAGGTTTATTATCATCAGCTCCTATACGAGTCTTCTATTGCTGCATAACCAATCACTACACTTAGTGTCTTGAAAGAACCCATGTATGATCTCATGGTTTCTGTGGCAGGAGTCTGGGTACATATTAGCAGGGTCCTATGCCCAGAGTGTCACCAGGGTAAAATCATGGTGTTGCCTGGGGTTGCAGTCTCATCTGGGCTCCAGGTCCTCTCCCCGACTCAAAGACAGAATCCAGTTCATTATGGCTGGGGAACCAAAGTTTCTACTCCTGGAAGCCAGGTGTTCCCCTCCACAATGTGACAGTTTATTTCTTCATGGTAAACAAGAGGATCTTTCTGAATTCTGGGAAGACCTGAACACTTTTAAAAGGCTCATCTGATTAAGTCAGCCCCCCCCACAATAATCTTCCCTTTGGTGAACTCAAAGTCAGCTGATGACAGAGTTTAATTACATCAGCAAATCCCATTTGTCAGTATATAAGGTAATCACAGGAGTGAAATTCCATCACATTCATGAGTTCTGCTCACACTGGAGGGGAGGAGATTATACAAAATGTGCACACAGCGGGTAGGAATCTTGGGGACTGTCTTAGTAAAATTCTATGTACCTTAAATCCTCATGACAAGAATATGAAAGGATGGGGGCGCTTGGGTGGCTCAGTGGGTTAAGCCTCTGCCTTCAGCTCAGGTCATGATCCCAAGGTCCTGGAATCGAGCCCCGCATTGGGCTCTCTGCTCAGCAGGGAGCCGGCTTCCCCTTCTCTCTCTCTGCCTGCCTCTCCACCTACTTGTGATCTCTGTCAAATAAAAAAATAAAATCTTCAAAAAAATAAAGGAGAAGAATACGAAAGTATGTACTTCAGGTAAAACGAAAATAATCCCAGGTGGAAGAACTGGGACACAAGAGAGAAGAAAAGGCAAAGAAAATATTTGGGGTGCCTGGGTGGCTCAGTGGGTTAAAGCCTCTGCCTTCAGCTCAGCTCATGATCCCAGGGTCCTGGGATCAAGCCCCGCATCTGGCTTTCCGCTCAGCGGGAGCCTGCTTCCTCCTCTCTCTCTGCCTGCCTCTCTGCCCACTTGTGATCTGTCAAATAAATAAATAAAATCTTTAAAAAAATAAAATATTAAACATGTGGGTAAGTCTACACAAACATGAACTATTTAAAATAATAACAATACAGGGTGCCTGGGTGGCTCAGTGGTTAAAGCCTCTGCCTTCTGCTCAGGTCATGATCTCAGGGTCCTGGAATCGAGTCCCGCATCAGGCTCTCTGCTCAGCAGAGAGCCTGCCTCCTCCTCCTTTCTCTCTCTGCCTGCCTCTCTGCCTACTCGTGATCTGTCTGTCAAATAAAAAAAAAAAAACTTAAAAAAAATAATAACAATACATTTGATTTGTGTAATTAACAAACTAACCATCATCAAAATATCAGATTATAAAAGCATACAAATTCAAAGAGAATAGTTAATGTTAAAGAATTCTAACATCTATGTATTGTTTGAAAGAAGTATAAAAATACCTACTAAAGAGACAACGTACATGTTAAGTCTGCAGCACCTGAATGACTCAGTGGGTCAAGCGGCGGGTTCTTGGTTTCAACTCAGGTCACAGTCTCAGAGTTGTGAGATGGAGCCTTGAGCATTGAGCCTCTCCTGGGCTCTGCACTCAGCGAGGAGTTGAAGAGTCAGCTTGAGATTCTGTCTCTGCCCCTCCACCCCTTGCTGCAAGCCCTCTTTCTAAAATAAATAAAATCCTTAAGGGGCGCCTGAGTGGCTCAGTGGGTTAAAGTCTCTGCCTTTGGCTCAGGTCATTATCCCAGGGTCCAGGGATCGAGCCCCGCATCTGGCTCTCTGCTCTCAGCAGGAGCCTGCTTCCTCCTCTCTCTCTGCCTGCCTCTCTGCCTACTTGTGATCTATCTGTCAAATAAATAAATAAATAAGATCTTAAAAAAAAAGGTAAAATCCTTAAGAAAGGGAGACTGTTAAGTCAAATGTACAGGTTGAAATTGTTTGATTAAACACTACAGAACCGAAATAGATTAATACTTTCAAAATAAGAGAGGGAGTTTAAAAATGGAAAAAATCCTTCCACTACTCTCTGAGGCTCCCAACCAGACTACTTCCCCTCCCTCACTTAGGGTCTGACTCAGATCCCAGTCTGGTGGCCCCCTCAGCTTCTCCCAGATTCCTTCCCAATTTCTCTCACAGCCATTTCCCCTAAAGAGTTTCTTGTACATTCAATCCCAACTTAGCGTCTGCTTCTCAGATGATATTCCCGGACTAGCACAAATCCCCGATTCATTTTATGAAGTGAATAGATCCATGACAGTGAAACAAGTCAATGGCAATATGAGTAAAGAAAAGTACAGGCCGGGGTGCCTGGCTGGTTCAGTTGGAAGAGCGTGTGACTCTTCATCTTGGGGTCATGAGTTGGAGCCCTGCGTAGGGTGTAGAGATGGCTTAAATAACATTTAAAAAAAAAGAAAGAAAGAAAGTGCAGGCCAGTCTCATTTATGAACATGGTACAAAGTGCTAAACAAAAACCTGAGTATGCTCCATTTAGCAATGTCTACCCAACACGGTGACCAGAAATGCAAGGTTGGCTTAATACTAGAAAATCTATAAAGGTCTTCTAGAAAAAGAAATAAAAGAATAGTGGAAAGAGAAGAACTGAAACTGTTATTTTTCCTAGACAGTGTGATTTTCTGTGTAGAAAAATCAAAGCACCTACAGATAATTCATGAAACTTAGATAATTTATTACAGTCATTCAATAGACAATCAGCACACAAAGGTGAAGGCATCATTCACAATAGCATCAAAATGTAGTATCTGAATTAAATGTAATAAAACCAGTGTAAGATCTTTATGGATAAAATTATTTAAAATTTTGTAAAGATATTGGAAAGAATTAAATAGTAGATACAATGGAATCACAGAAGGGTTTGTGTGCGTGTGAGATTTGAAGAGCTGATTCCCAAATGTATATGGCGGAACAAAGACACTGGGAGAAAAACAATGGGCTCCCAGCACCTGCATTAACTGATCTTGCTGCTTGGCTTGTTACTCCGTCTCAACACCAAGTGGGACTCCATAGGTTCGCAGATCCTAGGGGCCACAGGATGAATACTTCCATCAGAGAACTGGCAGGAAATTAGAAGAAATGATCCTCTGGCTAATGAGCTTTCATGGCCCTGAGCCAGTAGGAAGAGGAAGTGATTGTTACCCGGAGAAGATGATTGATACTTGGAGCCAATAAACAAAAGGCATGATCAGAGGAGGGCTGGGAGCCTGTGAGGATGACAAGTTAGGGCAGGGGTCGCAGAGGGTCAGTCCATCTTCTCTAGGTTTGTTAGCTGGACTGTGGCATTCCAGAGCCTTTGGGCCACTTGAGGATCCCGAGCAGTTTTAGTGGGAAGAGTTATCATACAGGAACTGCTAAAATGTTTTCCAGAAACACCATCCAGCTCCTTTGCCAAGCTCAGGTAGAGGACTGGGATTGCCCCTTGTTTGGTGTTCTGTAGAGGGGAAGAGAGGGAGTCAGGCCAAACTGACTTTCCCTTGCTGGGGACACAGAGAAGCACAGCGCTGCCCCACCCTCTTCAGGCTAGGCTGGTTCCTCCCCTACCCACCTTACAGAAGAAGCTGAAGAGCCAGAAACAGAATCGGTATGGCCAAGAGAACTGCTTCATGATCTCTGTGTACACTACACCTGGGTCCACAGAGTTCACAGTCACACCTGAGAGGAGGAGACGTGGGTATAGTGCACAGTGAAATGAGAGGGGGATATTGGGAAGAAAGGGGTAAGTGTGGTTCTCCAGTGGGCAACGATGGGAGGATCCTACCAGGTCTGTGGGACAGAGGTAACCAGAGATTTAGGGGTGGTGCCAAGGAAGTCAGTCCTCTGGAACTTACACAAATAGGTGATATATTCAAGCCAGTGAGGAGACGGGAGTATCGGAAAGCCCTGGGTGAACACAGTGGATGGTGTTGGTTTGGGAGAATACTGAGAGGAGAGATCTGTTGTGAGTGATAAGAGAGTTGGAAAGATCAAAAAAGGAGATTGAAGACAGGGTTGAGGGAACTATCGACTGCACTGATGATCAGTGGGGGAGATTAACAGCTGGCCTAGGGGACACTAGGAGTAGGTTATGGCCAGAACATGTTGGGTGAGGTGTGAAGTGTTGGAGGTGGCACTGGGATGGAGGAATAGGGTGTGTCAGAGGCAATTACCTGTCCCTTGAAGTCTCCGGGCAAGCTCCCCAGTGAAGGAGGTCAAGAGCAGTTTGCTGCAATCGTAGTTCTGGTTAAAAGCCAAAGGCTTCCCAGCCCCTGTCAGATGTTTCTCATCAACATAGCCATGTGCATGCCGAAATGAAGACACATTCACTACCCGGGCTGACCCTGCCCGTTGTAGGGCCCCTGGGTGAAAAGAGGACCACACTCCTTCAATCCAAGTTCTGGAGTGAACTCCCATGCCTACTCCCCAGCCTGCCTCTCTAGGAGACTCCAAGAGAGCAGAGACCATCCAGGGCTTTCAAGATAGGGTCACTGAGCCCCACACCCCATGTGTCCCAGGCTAAGCACAGGACAGCTTAATGTGAACAAAGTCTTCATTTTCATTAGTTGCTTTCTTAATGTTTTTTTCTCCTCTTTTATTGTAGTATTTGGATTTTTATCTTGCTTTTCTTCCACTTGTGTGCTGGAGCTGCTTTAATTGATCCCTGTTTATGTTTTACCTCACTGGTGGCTAAGAGAGAAAAGCAGAGGTTGGAGACACTGTGAAAGCTATCTTTGGCGTATTTGTCACACAAACGTTCATTAGGTGTCTGGATTATGATAGACACCAAGACAGATACTAAGGACATAAGGGTGCTGGATTGAAGGGGGGAGAAATGTATTTAGAGATACTTGGGAAAGTGTGTGTGTGTGTGTGTGTGTGTGTGTTTTAAACCAGCTCTCAGGAGGCCTGGGTGGCTCAGTTGGTTAAGTATCTACTTTTGGCTCAGCTCTGATCCCAGGGTTCTGAGATCGAGTCCCACATCAGGCTCCTTGCTCAGTGGGGAGCCTGCTTCTCCCTCTGCCTGCAGCTCTCCCTGCTTGGGCTTTCTCTCTCTTTCTTTCTCTGAAAAATAAATAAATAAATAAAATCTTTAAAAACCCAGCTATCTTCCAGGGTAACGAAAATAAAATTACAATCAATAGTATAAGTTAAATCTTGGGGCGCCTGGGTGTTTCAGTAGTTAAAGCTTCTGCCTTCGGCTCAGGTCATGATCTCAGGGTCCTGGGATCGAGTCCCGCATCAGCTCTCTGCTCAGCAGGAAGCCTGCCTCCTCCTCCTTTCTCTCTCTCTGCCTGCCTCTCTGCCTACTTGTGATCTGTCTGTCAAATAAATAAAAAAAATCTTTAAAAAAATAGTATAAGTTAAATCTTTTTAAAAAGTACCTCACTATATATCTCTATCTATATAAAATTTGGATCATATAAAATATGAAAAATAGTAGTTGTCACATACGAGTTTATGGTGTTGAAAATGCCAGAACTATTTTGAGCCATACATTTAGATTACGAATCACAAATGAAAAACCGAACAGGTGGTATTTAGGCAAAATTTGTTGGGAAGAAAATTATTCTTAAAGAAAACAGACCTGAGGGGTGCCTGGGTGGCTCAGTGGGTTAAAGCCTCTGCCTTCAGCTCGGGTCATGATCCCAGGGTCCTGGGATCGAGCCCCGCATCGGGCTCTCTGCTCAGCAGGGAGCCTACTTCCTCCTCTCTCTCTGCCTGTCTCTCTGCCTACTTGTGATCTCTATCTGTCAAATGAATAAATAAAAAAATCTTTAAAAAAAAAAAGAAAAAGAAAAAGAAAACAGACCTGAGATTTGCAGGCATAGTGACATAAAGACCAAAGGGGCTCACAGCCTAGTTGGAGACAGATCCTCATGGAACAGTGTTGATGCGGGAACAGGAATGTATACAAGGGTGCGGGGAGCCCTGCAAATGGGGAGGCTGCTGGGGGAAGCATTGGCAGGATCCACAGCACAGGTGATATCTGTGCTGAGTCCTGGCAGAGGAACTAAAGTTAAGTCAGCTAAAAGAGCAGGAAAGGATATTCCTCATAGAAACAAGCACATGTGCCAAAAGCAGAGCCCGGGGCGGGGGTGGGGGGGAACAAGGTCCAAGAGCTACAGAGCATAGCTCTAGACTGTCTGCTGGAGAGCAGAGCGTGGATTAAGGAAGGGGAGAAGGTGAGGCTCTTAGTCTGCAGGGGGTCTGTGCATGGAAAAAACAGGCTTAGAGTTTCTCCTCTAAAGGATAAATACCTTCCAAGGATATTAAGCAAGTGATGTGGTGAATAATGATTTCCTACAAGCAGGAGAAAGAATGAAGAAGGGGAGGAGATGGGATGCCTGGGTGGCTCAGCCAGTTAAGTGTCTGATTTTGACTCGGGCGGTCCTGGGATTGGCTCCTGCATCAGACTCCTTGCTCAGTGGAGAGCCTGCTGTTCCCTCTGTCTGCCACTCCCCCTGCTTGTGCTCTCACTCTCTCTCTCTGACAAATAAATAAATAAAATCTTTATAAAGGGAAAGAGGAGGAGGAGAGAAGACACTTTAAAAAAGAGAGAGACAGAAGGGGAGGAGAGAAGAGAGTTTGAGAAAATAGGACTAGGCAAGGTGTAGACAGGGTGTTACAGTTTGTCAAAAGGGGGAAAGTTACTACTTGAGAACCCATAGAGTTTTGCCTTGCTCTTTGTTCTCTTTCCAGTTGGGGCTCATTTAATTGGCCGCTAAGAAGTCCATGAGATCCTGGCAACACGAATTGTCTCTCAAGAGGGGAATGGTAGCTCATTTTCAAGGAGAGGAGAATTTTTTAAAACGTAATCCCTTTTGTACACTTTCAATTTTGTGTTTTGGACACATATTACCTAACCCAAACAATTGATTTTATTTTAAAGAGGCTATTACACAGTCCAGGAGAAAATGTTAGGAAGAAGGCACCTGTCCCTCATTCTGTCCCAGCCTCCCCAGGAGGCTTACTTCCTTACTCAGAAAGTATTAAAAAATCAGAAAATCAAAGGACTCAAGCCCAAGAGAGAGATGTGTTCTGTCTAGATTCCTGGTGGTTCTTGAGCTGTTTGAGAGCAAGAAGTTGGGCTTCTTGGTGTCTATGTTCCTAGTGGTCTAGTGCTCCCCTTAAGAAGCTTTTGTTGAAATGACTGACTCTACTGGTCTAGCTAAAGTGCAGATCTGGGGGAAGGAGAGGTGGGATCTTAAACCCTCTCGCTGGTTGTATTTGGGGCTCACTGATTTTATTACCAGCCTCCTACTCCTGACTTGTGTCAGCTGGGTTCCCCTGCTGTGTGAGGGGGGAAAGCACATCGGGTCATCACTCAGTGAGCAGCTGGCGCCAAGCGGAAGGAAGTGGCCATGGGGACAGTAAGCCACGAAAATGCCAGGGGAATGGAGAAGCAAGGGTGGCACAGAAGGGAGGTACCCCATTCTCCCTTACCTTGGAGTAGATTTGTAAGCAGGAAGGGCCCAACATAGTTGGTAGCAAAGGTGAAATCAAGGCCCTCTGGGGTTAGTGTCTTGGGGATTCCTGGGAGGAGATGAGAACACAGGTGAGGTAATGGAAGGAGACAAGATCTGGGAGACAAATTGGCATTTAATAGAAATGCCACAGAACATGGCATGTATGAATTCAGGTTTTTAGGGTCGTGTATGAATTCCAGGTTTTTCAGCAGGGTGCACAGGTTAGTTTTGGTGGATGCCTGTTTTAGGGTCCCTGAACCGGAAAGGAGGCTCCTGAGACAAGTCCGGGGGAAACATACCACAGATTGCAGCATTGTTAACCAGCAGGTGTATCTCAGGAGACTCCTGCAGAAGCCACCGGACAAAGCTCCGGATGGAGGCCATTGAGCTCAAGTCCACCTGGCCAAGCAGGAGGCAGTTACCCTTTGAGACTACTTGGATCTCAGACAGGGCTTGCTGTCCATGCTTCTGGTTCCGGCAGGCAAGGATCACACGGGCCCCACGGCGGGCCAGCTCCTGGGATACAGCCTTCCCTATGCCTGGGGGAGAGCAGCTTCAGAGTAGCGTAGCCTGGGGAGTGACCAGAGAGGCTGGTACTCGCCCCCACCCTCCCTCCTGGCGCCACTGGGGCCTGAGGCACCTAGTGAGGCCACAGGATGAGAAGAGCACTCACCACTATTGGCACCGGTCACCACTGCTGTCTTCCCAGTTAGGTCTGTGGAGCACTGCTGGAGGTCCCAAAGATGAGACTCATGCCAGAACCACACACTTAGTCGAAGCAGGAGAACCAGCATGAGCAGGACAGACCCAGGGCTCCAGACCAGGGTGCTGAGTAGCGACCACAGTGCCATAGCAAAGACTTGGTGGTCTGCCACCAGGGGAGCTGGGCTGTGGTGGAGGTAAACTGGGGAGGAACTAGTCAAAGCTGAATGCAGATTAGCAATCAGGCTGGGTAGTGCCTAGGACACAAAATTTAAAGAGGCTACTCACTCTCAGATTTGCTCAAACATGCTGTTTGGACTGGGGAGTAAATTCCACCTTAAATTGCAAGTTTTGGACATTTGATTGCCTCACGGCTCTCTTTAGCCCAGAACCAGTGCTTCTTTGAAGTGTGTATAGGCTGATGGTTGTCCCCAAGTGAAACTTGGACTTGCACTCTAAGCTGGATTGGTGAATTGCAGGTGTTGGAGAGGCAAGATAGCAAATCCCCCGTCTTTAATCAATGTGTGCTTAAGCAGCCCCTACTGCAAGGAGACTGAGTGATTCCAACTGAGACAGACCCCTCTTGCAGCCCTTATGTCTACTCCTCTGGGGAGAGGGGGATGGTTCTCCAGAATGCCTCTGCTGGGGAGCAACAGTGACCCAGTGCGGGGTCTCCCAAGGGTGGAAACAGGGTCATTCCCTGGAACCAGTGTTCTGTATCCTTCTAGGACTGTAGGGCAACTGCTCCTGATTGAGTGCCCTTGGAAGAAACTGACAAAGACACCAGGTCAACTCTTCAGGCAACTCAGGTGTTTATTGGGCAAGCAGAAAGAAGGAACGCACCACCTGAGCTTCAGGGCCCAGAATAGGGTAGGTGCTCGGGGAGGAGTGACCACACTTTGGGCTTTGGGTTCTTCATTATTTGTCTCACAGACACCTGAGGATTTGGGGCACCTGTTTGGATGGGCTGCTGCTCAATGGGAAGAGAGGTGCCACTTTCCCTGTCCTCCTGCTGGGGTACTGCAGCCCTGAGTAGCACCTGGGTGGTTGGGTTCCACATGCTCACACCAGGAGCCAGCTTCATTGCGTCAGGCAGCAACATGGGCTTCCACATCACCTGGGACGTGGCCTCAAGGACTCGGGGTGCCCTATATGGCCCCCTGCGAGGATCCTGACCCTCCCGGTCGCCGGGATCCAGGCCCTGTGGATTTACACGGCTGCGGCCAGCCCATATCTCACCCAGCAACTCAGCCTCCCCCTCCCAGCCACTGGGCCACTTGGCACCAGGCCACAGTTTGGGGCTGGGGCTCCGGGCCAGATCAGGGAAAGCCAGATGAGTGGCAAGAAAGCCAAGCCCAGGTTTGGGAAAGGGCAACTTTGACCCAAAGCCTGGTGATGGTAGGCCTAGGCTTAAAGTTGGGGATTGGAGGCCAGGGCCCAGGCCCAAGGCAGGGAAATGAACGCTAGGCGGGAGAGAGAAGAAAACTGTCGGGGGGGCATGGGCACCAGGTCTGGGCGCTAGGGATCTGGCGGGAGCCTCAGGAGTCTTGGTCTCCCTGACCCTCTGGCGCCCGCGGTAGGCTTCCAGGGGGCGTGCCTCGGCGTCCGGAACCAGAACCTCGGCCAGAGGGCGCACCCAGTGGCGCGGCAGGCGCCTGGGGTCCAGACGTGCCCCAGTCTTGCGACCCATCCTATAGCGAGGCCGGCTCCGCAGCGGGTCCTCCAACCTAGGCTGCTGTGGCTCTAATGAGGCCGAGGGGACGAGCGTGGTGGGGCCGCCTGCAGAGAGGCCGATCCCCAACACGCCCGAGTCGATGAGGGGCACATCCTCCTCGATGAGAGGAACGTCCTCCTCCTTGAGCTTCAGCCAGTCCCCAGATACGTGCGGCTGGGACGTGCAACAATAGAGGTCCTCCAGCGAGAACTGGGAGCCCCTGGGCTGTGCCTCCTGGGTCAAGGCCTGGGTGCTGACTACCTGGGACAGCTCCATAGAAGGGTGGACACTGCCATTGGGAGCCATCTCCACCGACGGTTGGCGGCTCGCATTCAAGGACCCCACTGTGGCCTGGTGGTCTTTGGCCTGGACGTCCAAGTCCTCTAAAGGACCCTGGGACCCTGTGTCCTGAAACAGCTCTGGGGTAGGTGGCGGGCCCTGAGTGACTGGCAGCTCTGGAGAATGTTCCCAAGATTCCATCTGCTCCTGAGAGCCTCTCCCCATCCACCATGTTCCTAGAGACATCCGATCCTCGCTCCCTTGGTCCTAGGGAAATGCATTGGGAGTAGGGGGTAGAGGGTGCATAGTGAGACCTTGGAAAGAGGAGACAGGAACTAAGGGTAGAGGAGTCCAGAGAGGCTCGGTGGGGCTCAGGGTAGGGGTGTGGGGATCAGAGGGAGCTGGGGGTTGGGCTTACCTCGTCTTGGAAGGTCTCCTCTGGGCCTATGGAGGCGGGGGCATGCAGCACAGGCACTGATCCCTGAGCCCAGGTATCTGTTGTGCATGCCAATGGTTCCTCATCCTCGCACCACGTGGGGTCCTCAGCCACTGCTGATTCTCCCTCATCCCTGGCCAGGAAGCGCCACTCAGTGATCTGCAGCATGGCCTCCCGGGCCTGGCTAATGGTGAATGGAATGCACTGTGGAGATGAGAAAGGATCTCAGCCCAGAGTGGGCTGGACGGATGGGTGGGTGTGGAGATGGGTCTGGAGAACCTGGATCCAGGCCCACCTGCTGGGTCAAGTAGACTTTGAAGGCAGAGTCCATGACTCGCGCCAGCAGATCAGCCAAGATGTCCCCCACAACATCCTCTCCCTCCTCTAGAGCCATGAGTGCCATCCATTCAGCCTCCGTGAGCCGCCCAGGCACGATGTCCACCTGTGGCGCCTGCACCGTAGGAGGCCGCGTCTTTTCTGCCTTGGATCGGGTCACCCCACGGTCCCGAATCTGTCTCTCCTGCCTCTGTGAGGAAAGAAGAGGGCAATCAGGGCAAAACAGATAAGTGGAATGGAGAAGCAGCTATAGACTAGGAGGAAGCTTTCTCAAGCCGTCCAGTAGGAAGGAAAAGCCTTTCAAAAGGAGTAATTTACTAACAGCCTACTACATGTCAAATTTATTTTAGATATTTGACCTTGCTAATTTACTTTTTTAAGATTTATCTATTTAGGGGTGCCTGGGTGGCTCAGTCATTGGGCATCTGCCTTTGGCTTGGATCATGATCCTGGGCTCCTGGGATTGGGTCCTGCGTCGGGTTCTCTGCTTGGTGGGAAGCCTGCTTCTCCCTCTCCCACTCTCCCTGCTTATGTTTCCTTTTCATTGTGTCTCTCTCCGTCAAATAAATAAATAAAATCATTAAAAAGTTTATTTATTTATTGGGGGGAGGGGCAGAAGGAGAAAATCCCTGCTGCGTGGGAGGAGACTCCCTGCTGAGTGGGGAGTTGGACATGGGGCTTGATCTCTGGACCCTGAGATTATGACCTGAGCTCAAATCAAGAGTAGGAGGCTTAACTGACTGATCTAGCCAGGGACCCCTGGCCTAACTAATTCAATTTTCATTTTTTTTTATTTTTTTAAAAAATTTATTTATTTATTTATTTGAGTGAGAGAGCACCTGTGGGGGGCAATAGAGGGAGAGGCAGGCTCCCCACCAAGCAGGAAGCTGGATGCGGGCTTGATCCCAGGACCCTGGGATCATGACTTGAGCCAAAGGCAGATGCTTAACCATCTGAGCCACCCAGGAACCCTGCTAATTTAATTTTCATGACAGCTCACTAAACCCATTTTACAAAGAAACTGGAAGGACACAGGTTAACTAGCGCTTGACTGAGATTACAGAGTACACCCTGGCTATGTAGAGCTCTAACACCACAGTCTCTGCTATTGGCACTAGTTCAAAAGGTTCAAAGTTCTTGAGAGTTCAGAAAAATTAAGGATAAGTCATCAATAAATGGTTAGTGTTTAAAGAACACTAGTCTCCTCTCCCCCAAATCAACTTAGATGATGATCATTTTACAACAACTCATCTAAATAATGGATTAAAGGATAAACACACACACACACACACACACACACACACACACAGATAAAACAAAAATATAAGCAAAAAATAAAATGTAGGAAAAAATAGATTAAATTGTCATATAATCTCTGGGTGAGAAAAAACTGCCAAAGCGTAAAAATTATGTAAGAAATAATAAGAAGGGTGCCTGGGTGGCTCAGTGGGTTAAGCCTCTGCCTTCGGCGCAGCTCATGATCCCAGGGTCCTGGGATTGAGCCCCACATCGGGCTCTCTGCTCAGCAGGGAGCCTGCTTTCCTCTCTCTCTCTGCCTGCCTCTCTGCCTACTTGTGATCTCTCTCTGTGTGTCAAATAAATAAAATCTTTAAAAAAAGAAATAATAAAGAAATAGCTAGAGAGGGGCGCCTGGGTGGCTCAGTGGGTTAAAGCCTCTGCCTTTGGCTCAGGTCGTGATCCCAGGGTCCTGGAATCGAGCCCTGAATTGGGTTCTCTGCCCCGGCAGGGAGCCTGCTTCCTCCTCTCTCTGCCTGCCTCTCCTGCCTACTGTGATCTCTGTCAAATAAATAAATAAAATCTTAAAAAAAAAAAAAAAGAAATAGCTAGAGAGTTACATACATATAGGCAAAATTTTCCTGTACTTTTTCTTAAAAATTTTTATTTTATTCATTTATTTGACAGAAAGAGACAGCAGGCAGACGCTTAATGACTGAGCCACCCAGGCACCCCTTCCTGTACTTATTTTTAAGACACTCCTAATTACAAGTTGACAGTAGTTACCATTTACTGGCACCTAAGCATATCAGTTACAAACACTGACTCAAGTCCTACATTTTTAGACTACATACTATTTTTATCCCCATTTTACAGAATTTGTCCAGATCACACAGCAAGGTAGTAGTGAAATCATAATTCATATGTAGGTCTGTCTGACTCTAGAGCCTGACTTTATCCTGCTTTCCAAAATAAAAAAAAAAAATTGCAAAAAATATGAAAAAGGATAAATATCCCCAAGTATATTAAAAACCCACATAAAAAATAAAATCATAAGACCCCAAGGATAATAAGCAAAGGACATAACATTACACAAAAATGGAACTGTAAATGACTAATAAACATTTGAAAAGATGTCCAACCTTCAAAAATATCAATTCCAATTTTATGAACACATCCAAAGGCATATCCTGAAATGAAAATAAAATTATATCCTCCAATAGACCCTCCAATAGACCCTCTGCTGTCATTTATAATAGCAGAATATTGAAAATATCTATCTAACAAAAAGAGAATATATGGCTAATTGTGTGCCCTCTATACTAAGGAATATTATGCAATGATTAAAGATAATTTTAGGAAGAATTTGCAATATAGGTAATGATAAATGAAAGAAACAGTATACAAAATTACATACCAAGTGTCACCTCTGATGTAAAAATCAGTATATGTTAAAGAAAAGGAAAACATCAAAATTGTCACAGTGGATATGTTTCTTTCTTGTGCTCTATCTTGTAAGTTCTCTACAATGAGTCTGTGTCCTTTTGTAATAAAAACATCATATAAAAAGAAAAAGACTAGCTCCATAAATTCATTTTAGGGACATAGGAAACTTATAGGAAGATTCTTGGGAGCCTACTCCTTTCCTACATGTCTCCCTTCACTTGGTTCCTTCCAAAATTTACCTCTAAAGGTAATCTTCCCAAACTTTATCTCCTCACCCCAACCTTATTGCCTCCTATGAGACGTCCCCTCAAATTCATTCTCTGTCATATCTGGTATTTCCTAAACATTACACTGAACTCAAAGTCCCTTAAGCCTCATTTCCTTTCTCTGCTAATGAAAACAGCCCTGGTGGCAAGCCCAGGGAATAGCCCACAAACCAGTCCAGGCAGGTAGGGCTGGGAGAGGCGAGCCAGTTCCTTAGACTTACCCTCCCAGCCTCTCATCTGCCACGCCTGACGGTGACTGTACCTAGATGTGGCCTCTAGAGGCCAGAGATATTATCGCACAAAGTCTCCTCAAATCTGTTTTATTTAAAAATTTCTTGGTTTGGGGGGCACCTGGGTGGCTCAGTAGGTTAAGCCTCCACTCTTGATTTTGGCTCTGGTCATGATCTCACAGTGGTGAGATCAAGCCCCTGCATGGAGCTCCCAGTCAGCGGGGAGTCCGCTTGAGATTTTCTCTCTCCCTCTCCCTCTGCCCCTCCACAACTCCCTGTCTCTCGTGGGCTCTCTCGCTCTCAAATAAAAATAAATCTTAAAAAAAAAAAAAAATCTGGCTTTTAAACAACTTGACTTTCAAATACAGCCTCAGAGCTGTTGTTTAACCCATTCCTTCCTCCTAAAATCCTTGAAAGGGAGTTTATTTAGAAACACCTCTCCCCAGTGCCCGACCAATTCTGGCTTATCCATTTGAATGGGTGCCTCAGTGTAAGAGACTTATTACATGCCTTAGCTGCGTCCAAAGTCAGTTCCCGTTCTTGGGCACTGAACCATACATTTGACTTTTTCCCTCAGGTTCCGAGTGTGACAAAGCGTGTTAGTGTGCGTGGTGCAGGTGCAGATTTTCTGCCCCAAACCGACGTGGCTTCCTTGGTCGCCATGTACGCCCGCATGGTGGGCTGGCAGCGGCTGGCGTGGGGCTGACCCATGGTTCCCCACGCCGACCTTAAAAGCCAGTCCGACTCTGGCCCACCCCCATCTGAGCTGAAGCTCACCGAGCCTTCGTGAGCCATTGCCGCAGCTGTCGCTCCAACCCCGCTGCTTCGGCTTCCCTTCCTTGATGCTGCCACCTCCGCCTAACCGTCTCCCAAGCAACCGCGCCTTGCACCTAGCGCCGGACCTAGAGGAGAGAGGCTCGCCCCGCTCACGGTTGCCCTGGCAACCGCGCCGCGCTCCGCACGTTTGGGTTGCTCGGCTCCGCCCAATGGCCGTGCGTGCGTGCGTCGTCTCTATGGTGGCGGCGGGTTCGGAGGGACCGATCGATTCCCCGAGTCAGGCAAGCTACCCTGGGGCTGCGGGTGTGACTTCTGGCCCGGGCCGGGGGGTTCGGGGAGCCAGCTGAGAGAAGAAGGGTCTGGGGGCTACCCTGCCTCATCTGCCTTCGCTCGGGCGCTTGGAGCCACCAGGTCCTGTGCCATCACCGTTCCTCCTCTGGGATTTCCCCATCGCCCCATTGACGCAGCTCTGGGGCTCCCCTTTCCTGCTCCACAAGACCTCCCCACGCCAGACTCCCCTGTTGCAGTCCTCGGGTTCCCCATCACATTCTGACCTCAGTGGTCTCCTTCAGTGCCTCACGACAGCACCCCCCCATTCCTCCCGCAGGAATCACCACTGTCGTGTTTCCTGCGCGCCTGTGATTCGGGCCTTTCTCCGCTAGGATGTTCCGCCGGGAGCGCCCGATTCCCCTTCGAGGTTCGGCCGCACCCCTGTGCAATAACCTCAGTGTGCTGCAGGTGCCCTCCCGAAACCTCACACATTTTGGGGTAGTCCATGGACCCAGCGCCCAGCTTCTCAGCGCTGCTCCTGAGGGTGTGCCCTTGGCCCAGCGCCAGCTCCACGCTAAGGAGGGAGCCGGAGTGAGCCCTCCACTTATCACCCAGGTGAGGCATTGAATTGAGAATGGTGTTGCTGAACCCAGTCCTCATCTCTGTCCTTTCTTTCCAAGCCTCAGGAATAGGCCTTCCCTAACCCTCTGATTTTCCACTCTGGAGACCTCCTGTCCTCCAGTCTGACGACTTCTTCCTACTCTGGGCCATTTCCCTATAGGTCCATTGGTGTGTCCTCCCCTTCCGAGTGTTGCTGGTACTCACCTCACATAGAGGAATACAGGTAAGAAGAGCTTCCTATCCTACCCCACTAGAGTCTTTTCAACTCTTCCCCCAGACCCGTAAATACTTCGCCACTTACCTCTAAACACTTACAAACCTTTTACATGTTTAGCCCATTCTTCCTTATTTCTCATCTTCATTCCTTCCATCTTTTCCAGTTCCCAAGTGCTATCTCCTATACCTGCCCCTTTACTAGCTGTATGACCTCAGGCAATTTAATTAACTTCTCAGAGCCTCAGTGTCCTGAGATGGAAATAAAAGTAGTGCCTGCCTCCCACAGTTGTTTCGAGGGTTATATACCTGCTTCTCACACATGGTTTGTCAGCTCAGGGGAGTGCGACTCTAAGGCTAACCTGTATGTGAACTACTCAGCATAGCTCTGCAAAAGTCAGCTGGATGTGCCCCCATCCTTGCTCTTGTCTTCCAGATGTACGAGTCAGATGGCTCTGTCATGGTCTATTGGCATGCACTGGACTCTGGAGAAGCATCTCCAGGTACCTGCAGGACTGAGTGGGGTGGGGGTAGGGAGTGTTTGGTGGGGCTGGCGGAGGTGCTATTTCTAATAGTTTTCCCCTTTCATACTCAGTACAGGCTGTGTTTGCCCGAGGAATTGCTTCCAGTGGTCACTTCATCTGTGTGGGTGAGGGGGCCAAAGGCAGGGCATTGGGGGGTGCTACGGCATCGGGGTGCAGGCTTTGCCTGGGATGATGCTGAAGGTTTGAGGGAATTTTCGAAGGTTAGAGGGAAGGGTGGGAGTGAAGGGGGCTCTTATAGAGACTGCAGAAAGCCATGGCAGGCTTCAGAGGGGCAGGATAGGATAGAGTAATGGTAGTCAACGGAGGAGTGGAGCTGTTGGAGCAGTGAGTGGTGGGTTTGCTACAGAGGTTTCTGGGGTGGAGGGAGTGCTATGTGTGGTGGTTGGAGATGCTGGAGGATCAGGAAGCCATCAGTGGGGCACTGGTTCTGCAGGAACATGGTCGGGCCGGGTGTTGGTGTTTGACATCCCAGCCAAGGGTCCGAACATTGTACTAAGTGAAGAGCTGGCTGGGCACCAGACATCAGTCACAGACATTGCGACCGAGCCTGCCCAGGGACAGGTGAGTGGATTCCCCCTACTTATTCCAGTGAGCCTGGGAGCCTTCCCACTTCGGCGGGCGGCAGACCTGGGTTTAAGAATTGACTCCACTGCTAAGCAGCTGGATCACTTTGGGCAAATTGCTGCCCTTTCCCAGGCTTCAGCAACCTCAAGTCCAGTGATGAAATCGGATTTTCCACTTACGTGGCTTTAATAGCTCACGAACACTTTTCAGTCCTGGTGTGAACTGAGGAGTTGGGACAGATGGTGTCTAAGATACTTTCCAACTCTGACGTGTGCAGCTTCCTTTTCTGGACTTGCCAAGTCCTGCCCACCTCCAGTGCCACTCTCTTCAGGAAGCCATCCCCCTATTCCTGCTCCCACTGATCTCCCTTAGCTGAGCCCTGAATTGGTACTAGCCTCAAAGACAACTCTTGTCTCCCTAATTGGATTACAAACCTCTTGAGAACAGGGTATGTACGTTCTCATTCATATCCTCCATTGCACCTGACCCAGCGCTGGGCCCAGCGTCTATGTTTGTTGCCTGGGGTTGGGGACTGTCCAGGGGCCTGGACTCTAGTCATGACTGTTACTGGCTTACTGCAGGACCTCCAGATCATAACACTGGGGCCTCAGCTTCCTCATCCATCCAGTGAGGGCGGTTATATACCCCGCTCCTCACACGTGGTTTGCAGGTCTGGGGAGTGAAATTCTAAGGAATGCAAGGGAGGCACTTTATGCATCCCAAGGGAACCCCGCATCCAGCCGATAAGGGCTCCACATATTGCCCTTTCCCTGGAGAGGCAAAGATGCAGATGCTACCTCCCTTCCCCTCCTGTTCTGTATATAGGACCCAGCAGGGGAGGAAGGGAAGGACTGATCCTGCTTTTCTCCTCAGGACTGTATGGCTGACGTGGTGACGGCAGATAACTCAGGCTTGCTGTGTGTCTGGCGGTCAGGGCCCAAGTTCAAATTAGTGACCCAAATTCCAGGATTTGGGTAGGTGAGGCGGAAGGGGGTGGATGCCTTCCTGAGGGGTCAGAGGAAATTAAAGTGGTTTATCACCCTTGCAGGGTCCCATGCCCTTCCGTGCAGCTGTGGCATGGGACAGTAGCAGCAGGCTATGGGGATGGGCAAGTGCGTCTATATGAGGCTGGTACAGGAACTCTGCACGTCCAGATCAGCGCCCACGCCCGAGCCATCTGTGCCCTGGACCTGGCTCCCGAGGTGGGCAAGGTCAGTCTCCTCCATTCCTACGTACCTGTGCCCCTGGTGCTGGGACATTGAGAGGAACTCCACAGGCTTGTCTGTTTCTCAGTGGAGCCCTCTCCCTGGGTGCCTGGGCCAGGCACTCCAGCCTATACTCGTCCCCTCAGCACCTGCTAATGCCCACTCATCCTCCCACCTTTGGTTTTATAGCTTCTCTCTGCAGCCGAGGACACCTTTGTACACATCTGGAAGCTGAGCAGAAGTCCAGAGAGTGGCCGCACTGAGGTGTGTGTTGTGGGAGGAGTGGAAAGGGGGGGTCCGCGCATGAGGCAGCAGGCCCTGAGCAGCCCTCTTCTCCCCCAGGTGGAACACTGTCATGGTGAGTGTGTGCCTGACACCCAGGTGTGCGGTGCGCGATTCTGTGACCCCTCAGGCAGCTCCTTTGCTGTGACTGGCTATGACCTTGCTGAGATCCTGAGATTCAGCAGTGTGTGAGAGAAGAGCAGCCCTCCTTTCTCCTTGTGGTATTTATAAAGTAACCCTCCACCCAGCCCTTGTCTGATTACTCAGTATCACAGACCGGTCAACTAAGCTCCAGGGATGAGGGGAGGGGGCAGTTCCAGACCAAGCGGAGAGGCAACCTATCCTCAAGAACCAGGTGAGGGCTGCTGTTAAATAACTTTAATGGTTGATGTGAGAGTCACAGGGAGGTGCACTCCCTCCCAAGGCTCTTCAGTGCCATCCTCAAAGCTGGTTAGTGCAGGGAGGTAGGGCAGGATTGGTTCCAGTTTTCTCCCAGGAAGGGTTTGGGGGGTCCGAGGCCGTCCCAGAAAGGAGCCCCTCAACACCTTGGCAAGCACAGCTGAGGAGGAGTTTCTGCTCCCGCTCCCCAGCCTACCCCCAGTCCAGCAGAGGAAGGGGAGGCCAAGCTGGCCAACCTGCTGCTGCCCGCACCGCACCCGGAGCCCAGCTGCTCGTAGGTTGTCTCTTCCTCTGGCCAGATCCTGCGGCCAGCACCTTTCTCTCTCAGACTGGCGACTGGAGCCAAGTGCGGGGTGGGCCTTTGCTGAAGAGGCCTCTGGACCGTGGGGATCGCTGCTGGGGGAGAGGGGCAACGGAGCGGGAAGCCCCAGGGGAGTGGTCTGGGGGGATGGCATCCAGGGAGAATGTTCGGGGTCGCCCCCAGGGCATGGGGTGGGTCCGAGCTGGGGCTGGGGCCACTGAGGCAGGTGAGCAGGGGTTAGGCAGGGCAGGCTGTTCTGTAAACATTGCTAGCCAGGGTGGGGGTGTCTCCAGCCTTGTGCCCTCCCGCTGGGCCAGGATGTCTGTCACCGCTGCGATGTCATCCAGCGGCTCAATAGCTGTGACACCAGGAAGGGGTTGAGGGGAGGGGGCCAGTCAGAACTTAGGCCCCAGGCCTACCCAGCCCTGACCATCACCTGTCACTGTAATAGGAGGAAAGCAAAGCCCGGATCTCAGCTGAGATTGTGTTATCCTGCAGGAGAAGCCCCTCACCTGGGCCCCCTGGAGCCATGGGCTCTGATAAGACTATGGGATACAGGGTGCAGGGGGGATGGAGATGAGGGGGTGGGCAGAAGTGGGTGAAAAAAAATCAAGAAAA